TCCATGCAACACTCCCTCGGTATCTGGCAACAGTGACAGATATAAACACCGAACAGCTGTCTTTTGACAAGTGTGCTTGCGAGTTACTGCGGGTTTTCTTCAAGAACATTCCACCTTCGACAGGACCTGAGTAAATCTCATCAATATTACATGTTTAAGTTTATGGATATACTATTATATTGCACGAAAAGCTTCATTGCAAGCTTCCAAAGGCGAAACTTGTTTTGTTTGCGTCATCTCGCGAGAATCGAAAATTTGATATCAATTATTGTCATGTTTGATATCGCTAGCTGCCGTTGTAACAAAAGAATGACAAACTTGGTAGTTTATCTAGAGGGATTATTAATGGGGAGTTATTAACGTTGTGGAGTTAAGGACCGTTGCTTAAGTGATGATTTTACATATTACCGAGTAAGTCAATGGCAAACATTTTGATTGAGAAATTTCCTAGATCCCGTAGAAGGAACGAAAATTAACGACACCTCATGTATATTTCTCAAGAATTTTTGGTATAAATGGACTGCTCGTGATTTCCACTGAATGTTAGATTAGGTTTTGGCATCCGCGATGGTAAACACATACTTGAAATCAATAGGTCAGTGAATTCTGAGGCACTTTACATTTGTAGCTTTGCATTGAACATTGAAAGAAAGAAGTTTTTTAAAATAGAAAAATTATACTGGCAATAGCTGTTTCAACCTTCACACTAAACTAATAATCATGAAGATACAAATATGATTTTATTATAAACAGAACTATGTTTAAACCAAGAATTTACAGTTTTTCTTTAATCAATAACTTATCAGTGCTGTTCCTAGGTAAACTGGCAATCATGGAAGGAAGGAAGGTTATATTTGCTTATTGGTCTTGGTCTTTTGCTAAATATGAATAAAACCAATCAGGAGAGTGACTAATAGCTTCTGCTTATAGTGATCCTTGACCTCATAGTTTAGATGAAATGAGTCAAATTATGTGCATGGAGTCATTGGGATTGAATTGGAATTATGTGTTATTTTATGTCTATACATGATAATGATAATTCACCAGTTGGGGAATGCATTATGCTGTGCTATGGTAATTTGGCATATTTGGATAGCAGAGGATGAATTGTAGATAAAATGGAATTCAATTGTAAACAGAATGTTTGATTGGATAAACATGCCTGTCTGACTCTTTTTAGAAAAGGACCACTAAAACAAGAAAGAATGTCAAAAAATGCCAAGTTAACACTATAGTCTTTGCACCTTTGCAAGCAGACTTCATCTATGTATGATCTGGCAAAAGAAAAGTCGGACGTGCTCTGTATATGATGATAAATGGCCAGGGAGGTTGACAAGTTCTGTTCTTCATAGAGCATGTTTAGGCTGTTGCAGATAGTTCTTTTTCAACGTGCGATAGTGCCAATATCCTTCACTTGCACAGATTACTTTATATAGGAATAAATGTCACTTTGGTTACTTCATAAGGGAGCATTGTTTATTCTTCTGTATCTTTGTGATGCTATTCTGGATTATTACCAATGAGGAAGTAAATATACAGATATTCTTTACTTTTATACTTCATTCAAGAAATTATGTTTTGATTGATAAGGAATGAATTGGATTTATTTTTCCCTTTTTTTTATTTGCCTCTCTTTTGAGGTCATACTCTCTTGTTAATCTTCTTTTTCTGTTTACACAAAATCCAATATAAGTAAATTGATGAATAACCTCAAATCGCAGACTGCAGCACCTTTGCAGTGTCCTTGCTTGCACTTTATCAGTGTCAATTTGATGAAAATGCACTGCATTAATGCATATCACAATAAGAATATGATCAGGTGTAACTTCTGTAGACTCTTCATGAACATACTATATGATATATATATAAAAGATGACAATTCATATGTTTGACATCAGCTTGAATATTTTGTGGGGTTTTATGTATTGATTCGTGGGTTTGCAGCTGATTTCTCGTTAACTGCCACGAAGGCAATATTTTAATTAGGTATTCCTTCATTAGACTAGTTGGATTTGCATTTACTTTGTATGACAGTAAACTTTAGATAATTATTTCTTTGGTTGAATATGTAATTTAGCTACTCATATTTTAACAAAACCTTTTAAGCTGGGTGATTGTAAAAGTTTACATATATATTGTAATACCCTTTTTATGATGAGATTTTGATTGTATATGGAATGATCTTTTTATTGTATTTTAACCCACTGATACCCATATGCCCAGCTGACTTTACTTTATATTTATTGATTGTCTTTATACTTATATGTTTCCTCAAAAGCTGAACTCGTAAACTGTGCAATAGGGTGTGCAATTCTCAGCATAAAAAAAAAAGTTCTCTAAAATAATTTTTACTGTTATAATATGAAAGATTGTATAGAGTGAAACAAATTTTAGTTTATCACTTACCTTAGTTCAGTCGTGGTGGTGTAGTGAAGTTGCCCGAGTGGCCAAACTCAGGCAACTGGGAGCAAAATATAGGCCGCCAAGTTTAAAGATAGCTTTCATATCATATGTTTTAAGTCGTAGTTTACAGGTTAATCACCAAGGTATCAATTAATGGTCTTCCCTCTTTAACTTTTTCCTTGATTTTGGAAAGATTTTTTTTCTTGTTGCTGTTCGTATTGTTCGTAACATTGATAATCATAATATCAATATTGATAATAACAGCATCAATATTAATTGCATAAGAAGAATATAAAATTTGGAAAACTCAAAGAATGGGAAATTCAGTGAGGTCTTGTAAGTGTACCAAGTAGATCTCTGGTGGCTTGTGGAGCCATCAATGAGCAAACATTATTCACAAAAGAAAACTACAGTCATGTGTACAATTACCCAGCATCAGTGGGTTAACAGTATTTATGTATGAGAATGATATGATTTTCATCTGATTGTTCCTCCCTTATGAAAAGCACTCAGAATTCAGTGTATAATGTGTTTTTGATAAAGTTTTCATATATGCTTTGGCTGCAGTTAAAAGTGTAGAGAATGGGGGCTGTGCACATTTCTATAGTGTGTGTGTGTGTGTGTGTGTGTGTGTGTGTGTGTGTGTGTGTGTGTGTGTGTGTGTGTGTGTGTGTGTGTGTGTGTGTGTGTGTGTGTGTGTGTTTCTTAACTAGTTGTTTCAATACAGGAGAAGAGCTAAGCTCAGGTGGTCCCGTCTGCTATATTTAAATTGTCATAAAACTTTTTAAATTGATGCACAGTTTTGGCACACGCTATGTGTTTGCAGTGTGTGTGTGTGTGTGTGTTTGTGTGTGTGCGTGTGTGCGTGTGTTGTGTGTGTGTGTGTGTGTGTGTATGGTGTGTGCGCGCGCGCGCATGTGTGTGTGTGTGCGTGCGTGCGTCATTACTTAAGTTACTGACTGCACACCTATCCTGTTGCATGGATCAGTATGGCTCAGGGAAATCCTGTTGTGAATGAGGTTAAGGGAAAATCAAGATGGTATTTCCTTTAATAATATTTATTTTCTCCACCATCCAAGCATATGCTGCATAATACTTTAAATAACAGAGATCAAATTATATTATGGAAAAGCGGTCACACACACCACAAACTATGAATCATTGTGACATGTGAAATATTTGATTGTCCGTATTCTTTTCATATGAAAAATACTTGAAAATAATATTGCATATGTGGTTTTATGCCATATACTTTTTGTTATCTTCAATTTGATAACTGAGAGATAACTGAGAGTATATGTGGAATCCAAGTAAATTATGGATTGACAGTGTTTTGTATATGGAAATCATACATATGTACAAGCAAACTTAGGTTGTAGATATACAAGCAAACAAGGTGGGAAGTATGCAAACACATACTCACACACTTTGAGATTCACTCACGAATGCACATGCATACATGCATGCTAACTCTACCACATTTTCATGCACAAACACACATTTGCACACACATACACACGCATGCACACACTCACACTCACGCACACACTCACACTCACACTCACGCACACGCACATGCATGCACACGCACGTACACACACACAAGCACGCATACACACAGACATATATACACACACCTACACCCATGCTATTTATATCCATGTTTATCAAGTATCATAACAATCTTGTAAAAAATTTCAAACAAAGTTCCCGGATCTGGGATCTTATGACAAGCTTGGTCTATGAAATACATCCCTCTCCTCCAAATTGCAACTTCCTTGACTTTGAAATTGCAGAAAGTTCAGGGTTATGATCATCTAAAATATTTATGTCAAACAAGCATTGCTGTTGTAAGAGCTTTGTTTAGGAACAAGGGTCACTATATTCCTCTCTCTCTTCTCTCTCTCTCTCTCTCTTTCTCTCTCTCCTCTCTCTCTCTCTTCTCTCTCTCTCTTCTCTCTCTCTCTCTCTCTCTCTCTCTCTCTCTCTCTCTCTCTCTCTCTCTCTCTCTCTCTCTCTCTCTCTCTCTCTCCCTCTCCTCTCCCTCTCCCTCTTTCTCCTCTCCTCTCCTCTCTTTCTCTCTCCCTCTCTCTTCCTCTCTCCCTCTCTCTCTCTCTCTTCTCTCTCTCTCTCTCTCTCTCTCTCTCTCTCTCTCTCTCTCTTCTCTTCTCTCTCTCTCCCTCTCCCTCTCCCTCTCTCTCCCTCCCTCTCTCTCCCTCTCTCCCTCTCCCTCTCCCTTCTCTCTCCCCTCTCCCTCTCTCTCTCCTCTCCTCTCCTCTCTCTCTCTCTCCTCTCCCTCTCCTCTCTCTCTCTCTCCTCTCTCTCTCTCTCTCTCTCTCTCTCTCTCTCTCTCTCTCTCTCTCTCTCTCTCTCTCTCTCTCTCTCTCTCTCTCTCTCTCTCTCTCTCTCTCTCTCTCTCTCTCTCTCTCTCTCTCTCTCTCTCTCCTCTCTCTTCTTCTTTCTCTCTTTCAGCTTGTATTGTTAGCCAGTGTTTATGTAATCTGTTTATTTATATTCATGGTTATCTGTTTTCTGCCTCTTCTTTATTACATTTTTTTTTCTTTAACTATTTTTTTTTTTTTTTTTTTTATTTAGAT